AATCGCCAGCAACAGCAGACTTATGGCATATGATGGGTCCTTGGCTGTCACGCAGCTCAGACTCTGACCAGAAATGCACGCACTCTTCTTGCTTACAACCAAGTACATTGTGAATTTGGCAATAATGGACGGATCCATCTTTACTACAGACTGGACAGCACACTGACATGTCGTACGCCATGCTCTTTAACCATGGAAACTGTTCTCGCATGCATCGAAGAAAGAATCCAAGTTCTCGACACACGGTACGAGCAACGGTTACTTGAAGGGTGCCAAAGTCGTATTCTGATGATAACTTCATGCCTGGTGGTACGAATGTGGATGTCTCTTTGTGGACAACAACTTCGATGGAACAGGAGTGGCAAAGTAAGATTAGAGAGCAGCCCTCAGTAGGGTGAGTGAAGAACCTTGCAAAATTCTTATGCAGTTGAGGGGGTAACTTGCAGAGCCATTCATTGGTGCACCACTGAAAGACCATCAGTACCAGACGAGGAAATAAGCCAGGAGGCACTTGGCCAGACTTGAACTTCACATAAAGCGACGGCACCCCAGCAGATGCAGTTAGCTTAGTGACATCCTGTTGTGGTGGATACTTCAACATTGATGGTACAAGATATTTCCTCGAAGGCTCGTCCTCACATGACGAGGGCCAAGAACATAACAAGCAAAATTTCTCCATCATGGCGATAAGGTTGTTGCAGGTATCTTTGTTGTCAAACAAGGACCCCCATACATGCTGTAGCAGCTTTTCCTCCAAAACTCCCGTTCTCTCAAGCGTAAGCCATGCTTGCGCAAATTTTGCCTCTTTTCTCTCGTAAGGCGTAATGGTAATCACCTTCTTAAAAACATCTATCAGCCACTGAGGATCCAAGATCACCATTTTGTTTAACTGTGGAGTGTCATCAAAATGAATCAAAATTCTGAGGTCGTGTAAGAAGTTCAACATTGTCTCAAACTGTTCGTCATTCGAAATTTCGCATTCTTCAAGTGCAATCTTTTTGGCTTCTTCAAGGGAAATCCACTTGTGGCCACGTTCGAGCATTGCGCTCACAGCCTTTTCATACTTCAACCATTTGATTGGAATAACCTCTTTCATTTGTGGCAGCTCTTTAGCAACATTAAGTACCTCCTTCTTGAGACTGACGACCCCTTGACATTCTTCTCCACTTCCTGACTTTGTGTTGTCAACAACAAAGAAGTCAAGTAAATGTTTACCATAACTCTTGGTCTGTAATGACCCGAATGTCCTACGAGCTAGCTTTCCAGGATCTGAACTTTCATACGGTTGGTCAGCGTGAGTGCAAACAAGGAACACTGGGGGCAACCTTTCTGGTAACATGTCAGATGTAGATGCCTCCTGAAGCTCTTCATCATGGGAGACCAAACTCGAGACTGAGGACATCCAAAAATCAAGATAATCCATGTTACTCCTTTCACAGAAATTTTCTTCAATATCATCGTAAAAACCATGCATCAACTCGGGGCTGACTTTTCCATCTGGATTCCAGCTTAGGTTATAAACTAAACAGTAGATTGCTCTTACTGTGAGGAACAATGGGTGGGTGGCATAATATACTGCTTGTCCACCAAAATCCCACAAAATGGAATAAATGTCTCCATCGTCTTGTTCATTGCCATCAACCTGAAGCAACTTTTCAATCAATCCTGCTATCTCTTCTGGCACTTTAGGCAACTCTGGCACGTTTTGCACCTCTGCCATGGAACGATGAGTACCTTGCGAAACTTCAGGAGTCAATGACCGTGATACAGCGGGAGGATCAGCATGTTCTAAAACAAAATCAACAGTTAATGGACCACTTTCATCATCACTTTCATCCACAATCACATATTCATACTTCGCGTGACTTGACGAGGGTTCTTTTTGTTCCTCCTTAAGGTGACTCAAAATATATTGAGCTGTGCGCTGCTCAAATGAAATGGGTGTTCTATCTGAACTTGTTCCTTGGGTTCTTTCCCCTACTTTCCAAACCTCCTGTGACACCTCGCAATAGGAAGGATCCATCTCTATCCCTTTAGTGCTGGTTTCTCCTGGATCGAATCGTTCTCCTTTCAGTGATCTCTTTAAGCTGGTTTTACCCGACTGACCTTGTCCAATAAACATAATTGGTACTCTCTTTACTCTGGTCATTCCCTCCAATAGGGCGTTCTTATAGGCTTGAACGGCCGCGTGCCCTCGAACAAGAATCTCCAGAGGAGCTGCATTGGTGAGTAAATAATACTGTAAGTTACATTACGTAAACATACATGGCAAGGAACAATACACTTACGAGCCGGTGCCTGAGAGACCAGAATATGATTTAATTAGAATTAACTTTATTTAATATTTATCTATTTATTTATTTATTTATTTATTTATATTTATCTATTTACTTATCAACCTGGGCAACCGCACACAGTGTACGTTCAGTGATTTCTGTGTGGGTGTTTTTAATTTTTTCAAGTCTTGTTTTGTCTTAACCCTTTCACCAACAAAATGCCTGCTTTTAAACCGTTACATCAGTTTTTTGGCTGCCATGACCCTAAATTGGCCTAAGTTTTGCTAAAAAAGCTATTTTTTTTCACCAATAAGATAGATTTCCGAAAGATTAGGTACAAAATTGCATGCTCATAATAAGCCTAAATTTGGACTTGATTGTTTGTGTCTTTTCGATCACCCGTTCCCAACTTTTTTTCGTGCCCCTTTCGTTTCCTTTTTCTCGGCCCTTTTACTCTGGCCATCTTCTGCGTTGCATATACTTTCTGGCTGCCCTAAAGAGTTGGGTGTTAATTATGGGCAAGCCTAGAAATGGGACCTTGGTCAATTATAGGTATAATGGGTCATTTTACCACCATTTTTGCACCAAAACTGATGTTTTTCAATTTGCTCCGTCAGAATGCCGTCGATATCCAAAACCGACCGTTGTGCGGAAAGATCTATCCTAGCTCTACTATCTGCTTATCAAGAATATCTGGTGACGTTTAAATTGATGACGTCACAAGTGGTACAAAGAGCGCGACCACTCAGAACGTGCATATACGTCCTTGGGGGTCAAAGGGTTAATTTATTGCAGTCTAGGAGGGTGGGAAACGGAATAAATATGGCACACAAAAGTAAAGACCGCTGTTTCTTCATCCTTAATTTAGTAGGTATTATTCAACTAACTGGCCATTAAAGTAGTCCATATGGTAAGAAAATGACATAAAAGTCAGTTTTAAATTATTGAAGCTGTTGACCCCAACACTGAACTGAACTCCATAGCTTTGGTTCGCTTATTTATTCGTCTCTCATTTTTCTTCGTTGATTGCGTACTCATTAAGCAAACCCAATGTGCGCTAAGAATCTAATTAGACAGCTCTGTACACGTCATCAGTCATCATTAAATATGATCACAAACTTGAATAAATCATTATTAAACTTGACCGAGAGAGAGTATTTGATCTTGGCAAACTTAGGGCATTATTTATTTGCTCAAACAATTATAACAATTACAATTAAACTTACACTACAGTTACATAAAACAGTCTACGGAGTACGTTTCTACGCATTCCAATCTACACATTACATACAACCAACTTACAGTGTGCTACTTACAGAAAAAAAAACGACTTTAACTAACAGCTTTGGGTTACATTGACATGCAATTTTACGGTCACTATAGAAAATATTACAAGTACACTATTTACAAGACAATAATTATTACTAAAAAACAATAGAAAGATTACACTCGTTGAGGCACGCTACCTGTAGTACAGTATAATTTTAAATTACAATATTCGCTTAACGAAATTTAGCATAGATTTTCTATATTAGTTTAAAGTTAGTAGAAGAAGAGATTTTCGTAACAATTTAACTATAAAACACTGCGATAATATGGGAAAACTTAAGACTATTTTGTATTAAGGACAACGACGACGTTTCGACGTTAGCTTAACATCATGATCAAGTCAACTGAGTGAATAAAATGGGTACAAATTTAAATATAAACTAAGAATTCCTAAGAGAAACGAATGTAAGGAAAACAATGATAAAAAATTGACAAAAAATTCTAGAAAGTGTTAAAAATTACGTAATATAAAATATTTGCATGCAAAGAGTCACGTAAAAAGTTTGACACGAATTGAGTCTTTCTGTGTATTCAACACAGGGCTCAATTCCTTAATGAAAAGCATTTCGAAAACTAAACAATCAAACTTCGATTTGCATTTCTTCAAAATAGAAAATTGTTTGTCCCCTAAAGCAGACTTCGATAGCTCATGCTCCTCTATGTGCCTTCCGATTGCCGAGTATTTGTGTTCACTGATGCGTTGGTGTAGATGTCGGGTTGTGTACCCGATATAATCTGAGTCGCACAGATTACATTGAAATTTGTAAACCACGCATTGATCGCTAACAATAGGGGGCCTTTTCTCTTTCGGAGCGAGAACTTGACCAATCTTCTTACTCTGGAAGACAGGTTTAATGTGGACTCCAATGTTGGCGCTCAGATTCTGCATTTGTCTTTTGACTGAATTAGCCGATTGCTGATCTTTAAAAGGTAGTGGAATCATGTTAGAAGGGGTGTCGTCACCTGAATTCTTGGGTGTATCGATATTGTCGATATTATGCAGAAATTTGTTGATAGATGAATTGATCAAATTGATTGGATAGTCTAAGTTAAGGAAAATAGAGCGGAGTTTGTTACACTCATCTGAAAACCCAGCAGGAGTAGATGACAGGGGATGTGATCATAGTAGTGAGCGAACCGCCTTTACAACGTTTGTCAACATGGCTGTGGTAGTGAAGAAGTAAACCAATGTTCGTAGACTTCCTGTGGACTGATGTTTGAAAAGTGCTGTGACTTTAGCGCATTTCCAGATGTTAGGAAACTCGTTGGTTGCAATTGACAAATTTAACAATTTCGTAATTAATGGAGTTATAGTTCGAGAAGCACATTTCAGTTGACGTACACCGTTACCTGTGGAGAGATCTGAAGACAGAGGAACCACCGAAAGTTTACAGAATGCTAAGACTGACATTTGGAGTGAACTCTAGTCCATTTCTTGCCATTGCAACAGTGAATGCTCATGTCAATAAGTACGTAGAGACATTCCCTGACGCCACAAGGGAAATCCTACATAACATGTATGCAGATGATTGCTTAACAGGAGCTGACTCAGACAACTCAGCGCTGAAACGTCAACAAGAGATGTCAGACATTATGATGGCAGCAGCGTTCAACTTGACAAAACGGGCTAGCAATTCAAAGTTCGTCATGGATAGCATAGACCCAAACAAAAGAGCAACGTCACTACTAGTGGAGTGTGATTCACGTGAGCCACTCAAAGCCCTAGGTGTATCATGGGACTTGAATTCTGACCGCTTCAGATTCATTGCACCAAATGAAAGTGTTTCATCTCATGATCCAATGACGAAAAGGAGCTTTCTAAGTTTAGCATCGAGAATGTTCGACCCAGTGGGATTGATATCTCCTTTCACTGTGAGAGCAAAGATCCTTTTCCAAGAACTGTGGAGGAGAGGATTAGAATGGGACGACCCATTAGATAGTGACATTGAACAGGAGTGGTCATCGTGCAAATCAGAGTTGTTGCAGCTGAAAGATGTGACAATACATCGATGGTTTGGAACAAGTGTCACTTCGAGGTCTATGGTCGAGCTACATGGTTTTGGAGACGCTTCTCCAAAGGCCTATGGAGCAGCAGTGTACATTCGAGTTATAGACAGTGTAGGACAAGTATCCACTAAGTTGGTTATGTTAAAATCGAGAGTTGCACCTATCAAGGAAGTGTCACTTGCACGACTAGAGCTACTGGCAGCAGTTGTCAATGCTGGACTACTGAAGTTTGTTGTAGAAACATTGCAGATCAAGATGCACCGTGTTGTATACTGGACAGATAGTATGGTGACGCCACATTGGATAAGAAGACAAAGTTCGTGCTGGCAGCCATTTGTGGCAAATCGAGTATTAAAAATACAGTCCACATGGAATCCTGTCGGAACTGTTGTGCTAGCAAGGACAATCCTGCAGATTTGTTGACACGTGGACTGACCTGTGACAATCTGATTTCAAGCGGACTGTGGTGGAACGGACCCCAGTGGCTGTCATTACCTCTTGAATATCAACCCGCCCAACAACGAAGTGGAGGTATTCCACCAGAAGCCTGTGAGGAGGAAAGAAGAGTGACCCGTGTTTGCACAGCGGTAGCAGTAAAACCATTCATCGATATGTCGCGCTATAGCACATGGTTGAAGCTGATCTGAGTAACCCGCCTACGTGTTGAAAGCTGTGAAGTTATTCAAAACCAAATGTAAGTTTCAAGTAACTGAACTGTCAGCTGAAGAGATGCAACAGGCAGAGTTGAAATGCTGTATGCGGGTTCAACATGATGCATATAAAGACTACGAGCAGTGGAAAGCTGGAGAAGCCTTACCCAAGAGCAGCCGCCTCCTAAAGCTAGACCCTTACTACAACAGAACTGATCAAGTGTAAGAGTAGGTGACATTCTTGAAGAAAAAAAACATCAAATAATCTTGCCACATGGACATACCGAAGTTGCAAAGATGATACTAGATGTCCACAAACAGATGTTACATGCCAGCCCAGAAACCTTGCTCTCAACCTTGAGGCAGAGAATTTGGATAACCCAAGGAAGACGCGAAGTCAAGTGCATCATGAGAAAATGTGTTATTTGGCACAGACAACGCGTTGGCCCTTGTGGCCAGAAGATGGGACCACTACCCGAAGAGAGAGTTACACCCTCACCACCGTTTTCACAAATCAGTATAGACTTTGCTGGGCCCCTATACGTGAAAGAGAGAACAAATTTGAAGAAAACGTACGTGTGTGTATTTACCTGTGCTTCATCCCGTATGGTTCACCTGGAACTAACAAACAGCCTGAGTTTCTACAAGCCTTAAGAGTAATTGCCTGTAAATATGGAGAATCCGACGACAGGTCGGAAAATTCGGATTTTCTTTTATTGGGTCAAAAAGATCCTTTTGGTGAACTATTTTCAGAAATGTACTTTCAAAGTTCCAGCGAGTTCATATTTTTGTGAAATCTAGGAAAGTTCGAAATACCGCACAATCAACCAATATGGCCGATGGAATTTATGAAAAATTGCACATTTTCAACAGGCCAGTACACAAAGAAGGGAACTTACTTGGGTTTCATATTCTCACAGTTTGTAATTTACACTTAGATCATTCTTCTGAGCTAACAGTCATTTTGAAGTAAATACTTTTGTCTTTTGTCTTTTGTCGTTTGAAAAATACAACTATCGCAATTTAATTTACATGTAAAATTTCATCTGATTTTAGAGGGTCATAACTCTTCTAGTATACAAATCTCTTGACAAATAAAAGGTTCTAAAGAAAGAGCTATGCTATAGGTATACCATATTTAAATGGCTAGTTTGGCCCGTGAAAGTTAAGCGCGCTAGACGAAAAACTATAAAGGCTATTTTGACTAATTGCCCCACTCATAGAGGACCGAGTTGAAAATTTAACTTCGATTTTGCAGTCATCTTTATGAACATAATTCGACATGTTTCATTACACAAATTATTCTTTGACATTGTGCATCATACATGTAAGCAATAATTTAAATCATACATCAGAAATGGCCTTGGTTAGAGGGCAAAGTCCTGTAGAAATTTGCGTGAGAAGACGACTTGACTCTTGTGACGGGCCATAGTTTCACAATCCAAAATCGCCGTAAATTTGACAGGTAAAACCAAGAAACGTTCGCTACTTTTTTTTGGTCATTTTCCCTATGTATCTTTTTCTAAAACAATGTATAGGAAAAACTTCAAATGCAGCGGTTTGAAACTGTGACTGGTCTGCCAGCGACTTCGATATATGTTGTCGTGGTGAATTGCATGGCGTGACACCGTGACATAGAGAACAACAGGGAACAATGACAGTAATGTTGTGTACACAAACGTTACATGTACACTTGAGTTTCGTTGCGAGCAAACGGTTCTATTAATCGTTGCGGTCGGGATTGGTTCTCCTTTTTTAACCTAAAAAGAGAGAACTAATAATAAGAGATAACTAAGGAAGAAGTAGCGATGCCTTTTCTCCATTTGTTCGCCAAAGGTGCTCAAGTTTTGAATGCAGGACTACCGTTCCACCTTGAAGGCCGACATTTTGCCAAAATCGTCTGCTTGGGCGGGTGATTTCTAGAGGACTGTGCCACCTATAACCAAGGCTTATTCTCAGCAATTATTTAAAGTACTGCTTAAGGTGATTCCTCTGAAATAAAAGTGACAATAGATTTTTGTTCAAATTTTGTCCACTGAATATTTGTCATATGATAACTTCAATTTTGAAATAAAAAAGGG